TTGATGCCTAGTTTTTAGCTGGTATCAAGTGGAGTGCCCCAAGAGTTGGTCCTTGGGCCAGTTTTGTTCAATATCTTCATCAGCGACTTGGAGGATGGTTTAGAGTGCACCCTCAAAAGTTTGCAGATGACACCAAGCTGTGGGGGAGGGAGGGAGGTGAGAGGAGTAGTAAATATGCTGGAGGGTAGGACAAGGATTCCCAGAGAACTAGACAAACTGGAAGACTGGACCAAAAGACATCTCATGACAAGCACAAAGACTGCATTTAGGATGAAACAATCTCACACACTGGTACAGACTGGGGACTGACTAGTTAAACAGAAATTCTGCAAAAAAGGACTTGGGGGTTACAGTGGTCAGTAAGCAGTACTTCTTAAGTGGCCCTCCATCCCAGTTAATTGTCCACACCTGCGCTAGGCCATTCTCAGCGGTGGCAGATGACAAAACAAGCAGCAATGGTAACAAGTTGCAACATGGGAAGTTTAGGTTGGATATTAAGAAAATCCATTGTCATTTTCAGTGGAGACAGATTTAGAGTCGGTATATTTGGAATAAGTCCAAGGGCATAACAAGGAGTTTGTACTATACTGGCCATGTTTTACTGATTGTATGGGTGCAGTGTACTCTATGAATATTGGATAAGTGCATAATTTGCTTAGCTGCCTAACCATGCCATTTTTGCATATTGTTTATTGTCATATGGGTTAAGCTTAGATCATGTAGATATGCACCATTTTCAGTCCCGCTATCTGCTTTTCTATGCTGTTTTACTTTGGTATTAAAAGTCTTCAAAATAGTGGGAGCTAGCAGCATTAAAACTGACTAAATCCAGTCATTTTGCTAAGCTTTTAATAGCAGCTGTGAACCTCTCCAGGTCAGTCATTTTCAAGGCTAGCAACCCTGAAATTATTAGGAGCCTTGAAAATGACCAGACCTGACAGAGCCGTAAGCAGTGCTCATTAAGTATATGGCCCTGACAGGTCTGTGGTATTAGCAATCCTGAACCTGACTCCTTCCAATCATTTTCAAGGCTTCTAATAGTCACTCTTAGGGCTGCTGACAGCACTGTGAACGTAATGAGTATTGTTTACATTAAGTTCAGATAAGTGCATACTCCAGGTAAGTGCATAGCCTTTTTTCAATCTGGAGGCCATGCACTTAAATGGAGTGTACTCTATTTCAGTCTTGAGTGTTTTCAATCAATCATATCATCATTTTAAACTCTTATTTAGAACCAGAGATGTGGATTTTCCAGAAAACGTTGAATTGGAAAACTTCCGTGCCCTAAATAGAGCGTGATCTGATTTAGCATGTTTATTTTTAACATTATATTTATATTTAGTAAACTTATATTTAGTAAACAAAGCTAAAAAAGTACCCCCCATGTTAATTTTATGTCCCAATAGCCACAAGTATTTGAACTGAAACATTTGATTAGGAAAACAGTTAAATACAGCACACTTAATGTAGTTTAAATTTTATAGTCAAACAAATTCAAGCCTTTATGTGGAAAGAAATTATTTTTATTGGAATACTTGTAAAAGTGTAAAGACAATATACATTAGCATGTACTTCCCTTACATTGTTTGTTTAAATTTAAGGGGAAAAACAAAGGCACTGAAAAATGTTGACACACTAATTTTAGCGCACCCAAAGAACTGTGCATGATATGCCGTGGTTGTCCACTCATCTACTTCAACAGAGTTTAACTCTTTTCCTCTGAGGTCATTGCAGCACCTCCAGTTTCACTGTCACTATCTGTAGAATCACTTGCACTACTGATTAGTCCCATTGCAGAATCCGACTGAGGCAAATCTCATTCAGAACTACTAGAACTTCATTTTCTTTCACTAAAGGATGGTTTTACCAATGAGTCTATGGGCACAGGCAACTTACCGTCACACTGCATCTTCTTCACTAATTGTGCTTCTGACTGATTCTCCAGAAGCAAGAGATTTTGAGAAATAGAAACAATCTTAGCGGTGCATTCATTTGATTTTGATTTGACCCGCACAGCCAATTAGGTGAATTCATAACTTGATTTTTGTTTTCTATTATTATGAGAGTGTATTTACCCTCCTGTTTACAAATGAATAAAACATCTATGTACTCTCTCACGCTTCCTAGGGATAATCACCTGAAAAGCGTTAATTACAACTTTGAAACTACCAAGCTTGCCTAATACTGTATTTGCATCCATTTATTGTTACTAATGAATTTTATGAAACAATGAACTTTTAGAAATGTGAAATTTCCCACCGGAAAATAAAGCACTGGAAAATTTTCTGTTTTCTGCCACACATCTCTGTTTAGAACTACATATTTTAAATGGCTTTCTTCTTAAAACTGCTGATATTATCTTAGAATTTAAAACAATATATTAATTAAATACATCTATAATTTATCCTTTAACTTTTATCTTTTGCTACCAAGGCATGGGGAGCAGAGAGGAGACGATGAAAAAGTTACAATAATCAAGTGTCTAATAAAACTTGAAATAAAAAAATTAAGAATTAAAAACAAACAAAAACAATTGAAGGATGAGTCAGAAAATACTATTTGAAGCATAGGGAGATACAGTTGTGGTGTATCCAAATAATTGTGAAAAACTGTTAAATTTGAGGGGTAGTTTTAATAAGGCACAAGTATATCAATTCTGTCTCTCTTAAAAAATATTCCATAATAGTTCATATTTTTTTTCTTATACAAGATAAGGAAAAACAACCCACAGCCCCGTTCAGTGTAAACATGTATTCTGTTTTGGAATTGAGAACCTGAATGATTGCTCTGTAATTGGTCAGTGGATAGATCACACTTGGAATATTTTTACAGTGATAGCCATGCAAGGTAGTAAACAAAAATAATATTGTTGTCTAAACATCTTTTATTGATGTGGAGCTCAAGGTATTTTAGATACCACAGCAGTGTCCCTCCATGCTATTAGGATGGAAACAGGAGAAGGCAGTCATGTTCCAAATTTGGGAGAGTTTAGATATTTAAAAATCAAATTGTTTTTACTGTGTTTTAAGGTGGAGTCGGGGGAACTTAGTACTAGGGACAGCATGCTAAGGGGGTTGAAAATTAATGCGTGGCAGCATTTGTATTTCTTTAGGGCCTGGAGGAAACCTTGCATAGTAACTCAGTGGCATATTGTTTCTATGTTGAAGGAATTCCAGAAGGTTAGAGGCCATGTGTGTTGTATAATGGTATATTCTCCCCTCAATGGGAGCACATCCATTAATTAACATTAATGGGAGTTATGTACATCAAGGGGCTTCTCCTAAGTCCATTATCACTGCAAAGTTCTTTATAAAAACTTCCTGTTTCATTGTGATATTATTCTCTGAAGCTGCTGTTTGCTGTTTTCTTTATCATGACAAAATAGTTAGTTTTTTAAAACTATTCTCCTTAATTGTATATGAAGAACAGTGTGCTGCTTTTGGTCAAGGCATGGCTATTTTTTTCTTTATGTATAATTATAATACAATAATGTAAAGACAATATATTTCTGATTTGACACACTCTAGTTGCTCCAATGTGCAGAAGAACATAAAAAAGATTGCAAAGGCAGACATTCAATTTAGGAAATGCCTGGATTAACGTTGCCCATGTAACCTTAATTTTGGACCAATGGATGTATGCATAATGAGGTAGTTAAAGACTGTATCATGGCTAAGTAAGGAAGTTAAAAAGCCAAGGATGAATCAATTCAGTCTTTGAAAGTTAATCTAAACTGTGTCAATTGAATTGATAAGCAAGTGAACAGATACTCGCTTTTGATTCCATAAATGCAGCCACATACATGTCTGCAGTGGCTCAGGCCAGAAGCAGGGGGGTGGTAGAGCACATCTACCTCACTGCTCAGCTGGAGCAGACAGCTTGAGCCAAGGCTAGCCTGCCCACCCTGCAAGGTGGGGTTTGTAGGGGGGGTACAAAGCATCCTGGGAAGCTGGGCAACTGTGAGTTAACTTGAATCTGGAGGGGATCTGGGACAGAGGTTCAATAAACTGATTTAACCTAAATCATTTAAGTCTGACACTACATCCATCCAGGTTTATCTTAATCTGGTTTCAGCCATTTTTAAAGCAATTTATGTGCACTGAACTTCTGTTGTGTTACGGATTTGAACTGGTTTCTTATCACTTATACTGGTTTATGTGTAATTTCTGTCCCTATCTTATGTGCTATTTTTTCTGATTGAACCCTTGTCTCTTTCCATACATAGGGTGACAGTATGCAGGATGTGGATCAAGTTGAGTAACAGTGAGCTATTTGTCGGGTCCCTGCCTCATTTGTTGCAAAGGTTAGAAGGTATGTAGTAAAGATCAGATTCAAGATTAGGTGAATTTACATGCCTGCCATCAGGGTGGTCTCCTGCTGCCAGATGTCAAGTTCCAAGGATCTTAACTTCCAGAGTCTGTGATCAAAATTGTTTTGTTTTGGTTTTTTTAACATGGACAATATATATATTTTCCTAATTGTATTGTAAGCTGTTCCAGCTAAAACTTTATTAAAAAGAAAAAAAATTCTGAGGCAGAACCTGGGAAATTTCATCCAAAGCTGTTAAAACTTGGCAAAGTTTTAATCCAGTGAAAACTAGGCCTTTTACAGAAGGTGTTGGACAACCCTAACCACCTGAGGCTCTGCTTCATAAGTTGTACTAATTATTTGAGAATTGCCTACTGGCAACAGAGACTACTAAAAAAATCCCTGCTGAAATGATTTTTTTTATAGTTATTTTAGCCTTCCCACAGAGTATTAGACAAATACATTTGTACATAGATGGCACTGATTCCAGACATCTTTCATTGCCTTTCCATTCTTATTTAGTTAACAGCTTCACATACATTTTGCATTTATACCTAATTAAAGTTTGTGTCTGTGTATGTGTGATTGTATTGCTGGTCTTGTTTGGAGAATATATAGAATGTTAAATGTCTTAAATAATATTATTTTAGGTGTTGGTTCTATTTTTATGTTAGTTATTTAATGATATTTGTTTTTGTAGGTGTAACCTATCCATTGAAGAAACCTACTTTTTTTTTGCTTCTTGTTACTTCATCCGGACTATTTAAGCAGGAAACTTTTAAAGAATGAGGTTGAAGACATCACTCTCGAAGGAACCAAAACATATCCTTTGTCTCAAAGCAAAACATTAGAACCTTGTAATAACTTTGCATAACTTTATTAGTTCTGTATTATAGATGCTGAAGTAAGGCATTTTAAGTGTTTGTACCGGCACTATGAATTAATTTGTACACGTTATACAGATGTAAGAACTTACTCTTTCCTGCTGGCCCAATTATTCAAGAAGCTGAATATCTCAAGCTGGGTGCTAGGCATACCTCATTTTCAGTGATTCTATTTAGAATGTAGGCTGTTTATTACTTTGGAAAAAAGCACCATCATTTTTCAGGAAAGTGGTTTTTTTTTATCCCCCTCCTCCCATTTCAGAGTTTCTGTTTACTTTTGGAAAGAGATCCTCTTCCCCCTTCCAGCAGCTAATAAGTGTGCTACTATCCACTTGTCTACAGTAAGACTAATAAACTACCACTGTTGGGAAGTTACCGGGTATGGGCGCTTGCCCTTACATCCAGTTGACATTCACCGGTCTTCTCCAGGGGCACTGCAACCCCCGGTCAGTTTGGTTGGGGCTCTTATTCTCTCTGTCTTCCCACCTGCCATGACTTTGTTTTTATTTTTTGAAGTTGTTAACAAAAGGGAGGAGTGGTGACTACCCTGCCTCCACCACGAGTGACCGTTGGTTCCCTCCCCGAGCTCCGTGTCAATAAAAAAAAAATGGAGGGAACAACAAAACAACTAGAGAAAAAACGTTCTTTTCTTTTTTTCTCTCTTTTTTTTTTTTTAAGATGCACTCTCCACTTTTATTATGGAATTTCCTCTCCAGGGACTGAGTCCTGGACAACCCCTTGGCTTAATTTGTCACCTTCTCCTTGCTGGTTGCAGCCGTGCCCAGCTTAATTGGCAGCCCACGGCCCATAATAAGTCAATATAAACAAACAAACAAAAGAGGAAAGATGTGGGAGAGC